CAATAAGAACAAAAAACTAGTTTATCAAAACATAAATGTATAGAATATTTAACAGTTTCAATGAATAAAAACATTTGTTTAATTATACTTCCAATGCTTTCATTGTTTCAATAATTTTATCGACAATATACTATAACAGAATAAACAAATAAAGAAATTTTTTGTTGAAAATAAGAACGTACTCTTGCTTCACCAATATTTTCATATGGAACAGCTCGTACATGTAAAGTATCTTTTTTTGTCATACCAAATACGTTTGTTTCCTAAATAAAATATTTTATTTAAATGTAAATCAATTTTTATGTTTACTTTTAAAGTTATTTCAATAAAATTTGGATCAAATGTGACAGTTGGTGTTCCTTTTATTTCTTTTAAATGATAATCCCATTCAATATTATAACCAAATGATGAAGATTTATTTTCAATTAAAAATAATATTCGTCTAAAAAAAAATAAAATTTATTTTAATTAGAAAATTAATCAATAATTGACTTTGTTGTAGCAAAAAATAAAGTAGATGGTTCTTTGGTCGCATTTATATGTGCAATATAACCTTCGGTAGTGTAATGTTTATCATCAGGAAATTGCTAAAATCAATATAATATATCATATTCAAAAAAAAAACAGAAAATAAACATACATCAAATATAAAAGATCCAAAAGTTTCATGAGCAACTGACGGTCGAACAATTCCATCTTTTCCAACATGACGTGGATTACGAACTCGATGAATTATTTCTTCATGTGCTGCAACTCTATTTATAACGAATAAAATATTTTATTTATGATAAAAAAAAAAAAAAGAATTTGTTAATATGAAACCTTTTAATTAATTTAAATGATGAACTTGTTAAATCTGCAACACCACTTGCAGGTCTTGCAACAAGACCAAGGAAACCTTTACCTAAACCTTTAATAAAACCTTTTCCACCAGATTTTTTTGCACCTTTAACTGGTTTTTTAACAACACCTTGAACACCTAATACAACATCCTAAACAAATTCAATAAAATATTTAAATAAAAAAGTTCATAATGATAAAAAAAACCTTAATTGCATTTTTTCCACTTGCAACAATATCAGATGTTGCTTGAGATTGATATTCTTTTCTTTGAATTCTTGCATTTTGATAATCTTTATCTAATGTTAATGTAGCTAAACCTTTACTTGCTGCTTCAGTTACTTTTGAAACTGCACCAGCAGCACCACCAACAACAGAACCTAATAAATATTTACTACCTGTTGCAATACCTTCAATAAATTCAATAGGACCTTCCATT